GAAATGTCATGCCTCCAAAAAGTCATTTTGTACCATGCTGGATGAAGACCTTTTTATTTGTCTTGCTTTCTATTACTTACATTTGTTCTTAGGTCTGATTATCTTTTTATTTCAAACTCATATTTGATTGTGTGCCATATTAAGTTTTAACATTCATTCATTGTTTGACTTGCTTGCAACCTCTAGCCGGCAGAGAGAATACATACACACAAATACGGTGTGTGCGCGTTAGTTGGCGTTCGTTTAACTCCTCTATTAAACCTGTGTTCCTTTTCTAGTTTCAGACAGCCCATCTGGAAAACAGTCACTCCAGGTTCCTGGGTCTAGAGCCGCTGCACCACGGCCTCCAGTTTCTGCCTCTAGCAGCCGACCCCAAGATGACGCTGATAATAGCCAGGCTTCTCCGCCAGAGCTTCCCCGCTTGCAGAGACCTTCCTTGCCAGACCTCTCACGGCCAAACAGTGCCAGCAGTACTGGCATGAAACACAGCTCATCTGCCCCACCGCCTCCCCCACCAGGACGTAGAGCCAATGCACCCCCTGCTCCCCCTTCCATTCACAACAACAAAGCACTTTCCTACAACCGTGAGAAGCCATTGCCACCAACTCCTGGACAGCGACTCCCAGGCAGTCGGGATGGGCCACCAGCTCCTCCCATCAAGCCTCCGCCTTCTCCTGTGAACATTCGAATGGGGCCAACAAGTCAAGGCCAGTCCTTGGCACCCCCTCCTCCACCTTACCGGCAGCCGCCTGGTGTCCCCAATGGCCCTGCCAGCCCCACCAATGAATCTGCCCCTGAGCTTCCACAGAGACATAATTCCTTGCATAGAAAGACGCCTGGGCGGGGCATGGCTCCTCCCCCACCCCCATCAGCCTCCCCTTCTTTACAAAGCAATCGCCCCCCACCTCCTGCCCGTGATCCTCCAAGCCGGAGTGCAGGTAAGAATTTTCTCTGATAAACGGTAGGTTTGGTTCTTGCATTTACAGCATGTTTGTAAAGTCTGAAAAGCTAGGGGGTCAAATGGACCCAAAAGCTGCAAATCCTCATCTGAGAATCAGATCTTCCGATCCAAGATGTACAAGGGTAGGATTGCAGAAGAATGGAGGTATCCTGTTTTCAAATAACCTGTTTTCAGGTCTACAGAAAAATGGGGACACCCACATGCCCAGTGTGAATTTCACCTCTGGCATGAGTTCACCATGTTATGTTGAGTTGGGAAAGATTATTAAAGTCCTTGCCAACAAGTCTTTTTTTTTTAATTAATTTTCCTCATAGTGTAGAATAATATATTTTGCCATCCTGGGCCAGAAGCTCAGTCATCAATCATGTGATTTAAGAGTATAAACACAAGTGACTGAATACTCAGCGGAGTCTTAACGCTCTTCAGAAATATAAGAGTGCAGCAAGAATTGAGATATGAACAGTATATATCGTCTTAGAATCTGATCACTGTTTTTAAAGTATATAGCTATGTTCTGGATACTATAGGACATATGAGACGTTTTGTGCTTAAATTGTGCTAACTTTTCAGAAAGAAGTGGTGTAGACTAGTTATGATCACAATACGATGAAAAGCAGTTTTAATGTTCTCTTCAGTGTATGTAAAATGCTAGGCTAACCCACATCTTATGCTAGAATTCAGGTGCATAAATTGCACTTTCCAAGAAGTGAGACAGGTCCATACATGAATTTGGGAGATCAGGACAAACAGTGATCCACCTTTATATTGTGTGGGATAGGGCTGTCTCGGGCATTTAAAACTTATAATCAAAGATGCTGATAGGAAGTCAACTTTTGCTCTTCTTGTGCCTGCCATAGTACTTTACTGCGTAGAGAATAGCTGCATCCTCCAATTAGGGCTACTACTTCATAATTTATTGCTGACATAAGAAATTTCTGTTCTAGCCCCTCCACCACCCATGATCCGAAATGGTGGTAGAGATGCACCTCCCCCTCCCCCACCCTATAGAATGCATGGGTCTTCGGATCCCACGAGCCGCGGGAAACCGCCCCCACCACCTACCAGAACGCCTGTTGGACCACCACCTCCTCCCCCACCAATGAGAAATGGACATCGGGATTCCATCTCCACAGTCAGATCATTCTTGGGTGAGAATAAAAAGACTTCTTTTATCTTAATACATGGGTGAGCAATTTGTGACCATTCAGCCATTGGGACACATCTCTTTTGAGCCCAAATGAGCATGGTAAAAATGTTGCCTACACTGTAAATGTCCGTATTCTAATGGTATCTGTTTGGATCTGTATATATCTGATTTAGTTTTTTAAAATGACATTTTGAATCCAAGGCTCAGACATATATCTGGTTTGAGAAGCAATGAAACACGATATGCATTTGTATAAACATTAAACTGCTTACTTGTGCATAGTCCAAAAGGACAATACTTTTTTGCGTATTTGATACTTTAAATTTGTGCACTTCTGTTTGTGATCTTGCATTCAGTATCGGGCCCTTATTATTGTCGATACTGGCTTTTTGGTGTGTTGTGCCCCACTAGTCATGGTGCATTAGGATAAAAGCAGCTGCCTAGGTGTAGGGTTGCCTCCAATGGCCTTTGTGTCATTTTAGCTGTAATTCCAGTTTTTCCCACACAGAACCCTAACATAAGAGACAGCAGCGCTATAATTCTTTGATAGACATTGCTTGTTCACAGGTTCTTTACTGCTTTGTTGTAAACTCCGTTTTATCTTTGTTTTCTGCAGATGATTTTGAGTCCAAATACTCTTTCCATCCAGTTGAAGACTTCCCAGCTCCCGAGGAGTTCAAGCACTTCCAGAGAATTTATCCCAGTAAAACTAACAGAGGTGAGTGTTGATCTGGCTCAGCTTATTTCTTGCAAGCACCTGCTTTATTTGTAAACACACAATTTTCAGCTCATTACTTTAGAACTTAATATGTCTTGATGGGTGATTTGCAATCAAATCATAAGGCTCGAAGTGTTGCACATCAACCCTGTAAACAAGGTCAGGTGGAGGGAGTATTAGCTATTCCTTTGTTCCATTAGCACATTTTGCAAACCATGTAGTCATATAGAAGCATAATGCTGGTTTATTTATTTATTTATTAATGGTTGTTGTGGGTTTTTCGGGCTTTTTGGCCGTGTTCTGAAGGCCAAAAAGCCCGAAAAACCCACAACAACCATTAGATCCCGGCCATGAAAGCCTTCGCGAATATAATGCTGGTTTGTACTTCTGCAAGCCTGTGACAGTTATAGGAATGCTGGAATTGCGGGAGAGAGAGGCAGCATGCTAGGGAGGAGTGGCTGGCACAGGAACTCATAGTTCTACATGGTAATGGATTTTTAGGAGAAGTCTGTGTATCGGATGCAGTAGCTTAATCACTGGTCGTCACCTCAAGAAAACAAGTTCCTAGAAGAAGAAAATGCAAGAACTAGATGATACTTTTTCAGGTGCAGGGGGAATTAATGAGTTTCGATTTACTTTAGGGATCTTGAGGTAACTCTCTTAGGACGGTAGCAACAGTGTGAACACTCATGTTCTCTTGTGCTTTGGTGCCAACATCCTTGTGGAAGCAGCCCCTTGCCCAATTGTATGGCGCCTTTGGCATTAATAGTATCTGTTATCTTCTTTCAGCTACTCGTGGGGCCCCACCTCTACCTCCGATCCCCAGGTGAAAAACAGCAGTGGACCATCATTGCACAGCACCAAAACAAATGGACCTGTGTTCTTTTTATATGTTTGTCTCCCTTCTCATCCCTGAGAAACCTGCATGAGAAACACATTTTTGCTGTTGGTTTTATCCCTTCTCCTCATCCTTCCAACTGTTGTGAGAACCTGGATGAATTCGCCATTACTCACTTCCATCTACGCGTTTCATTCCTGGGCTCGAAAGGACCTGTTGGTACAGCTGGGTGAGAACCTTCGTCTGCAGATTTGTGCTGGTTTCTCGCTTTCCTTATCAATCCTGTCATGGAGGGAGAGCTCCCGGTTCATACATTGCTGCTGTCCGTGAACAAAGGCACAATGACTGTTCCCCAACAAAGCAAGTGAAACAGGACAGTTTTTGAACTGTGGACCTAGTTGAAATACCTGTTTCTAGATCCTTGCCCTAGTGTATGGGATGGAAATGGCCATACTTTGGGGAGATGGGGGAATTCTGATTTTTTGTTTTTAAAGAGGTGCAACATTTAAAAGTACTGAATTAGCTATTCTACTTTCAAATGCAAACACTACATATTAACAAACTGTGTAACTTAAAGAGGGGAGGGAAGAAAATGAAAACAACCCTTGGAGTACATTCTAAATGGGAAATGTTGACACTACATAAATGTGCCAGTATCTATGGCTGTTATAAGAAAAATTCAGGGTACAGAGCAGTTGCTCTCTTTATATTGTGGTCCAGAGTCATCACCTTCTCCATGTATGGCGGCTGCTCTGAATAGCTGCTGGCTTCCCAGGCGAAGCTGCTATGACTTTTAAAGATGCTGCTCTTCTACAGTGTAAAAGAAACAGGCACCACTTATGAACAGACCTTTACATCTGGGGGCCACCACTGCCATGTGTTGTGTTAATAAGCAGTACAGTGGTAGGGAAGGTTGGGGCAATAGCAGTCATGAAGCACAATGAACTGTGCAAGAACAGGCAAAGACAAATTTGACAAACTGGCTGGATTAGCAGTGCAGTTTATTGGAAGAATGATGAGAGTAGATACTGTAGCAATGGAAGACTGTGATTTAGGCCCCTTGTTTTGACCATGTCTGCGTTTTGTCAGGAGATCATTCCTTCCTCCTCTCAAGACAAAGGCACGTTCCCCTCTTACCTCCCTTGTGCAATCAATATTTTTGAATTTGACCTGTTTTAAGTATTCATCCTTCCAGCAGCAGGCATGGACGGCTTACCCTTATGCTGATGGGTGATGGGCACTGACTGCCTCTCCACCTCAAGGAGGACATCAAATTGGGAAGCATCCAGTTCTGCTTTTGAGTACTAGACTATACCTGACAGGATATCACTCCTAATAAGTGTGTTTAATGTAATACAAAAATTAAAATGCTTAATTGATAAATCATCTATTCTAATTGAAGGTTGATCACTACTAGTTGCAAAGTTACTTTGAGGGTTGGGGACCTGAGACCTTGCTGCATGTTTTGATGCATCCATTGTGTGCCATTGACATTGTTCTCCGTGATTCTTGCATATGACAAGCAGGGTTTCCATCTTTATATGTGACTGTTGGGATGCATTGTTTTGTATCCCGTACAACGTGTCAACCTGGTCTCCTGCTTGTGATATGGAAAACTTGATTTGCCACCAAGAGCGTACTTTATACTTGCTTTGTGTCTGAGGTCAGAGCAGAGGCATTCCTCCTTGTGTTTCTCCATTGCCAGGGAAAGCAGTGCTCCAGTTTTGGGTTACACATGTGCTTTTCAGTGTAGCAGCTGAAATAGGAATGCATGCTCCTCTGTCTCTGTCAATGCACAGCAAAGCCTGCTGGGAAATCACATCTAGACTGTTGACCCACAGTATAAAGTGCCCCATTTTGGGATGAACATTGCTGATCTGGTCCAGAGCTGAAGCAGATTTCCTTCACTCTTCTTCTTCCCTGCTCTCATTTATATGTTGTATAGATGGTTGTAACATCAAGCCTGGCTAACTAGTTGGTTGATTTTTGCCTTACACAGTACTTCCGTCATGTGGTTGGTACCAGATTTATTATAATTGTGCATATTTACTCTTAAGTTACTTGGGGTGGGAAAATACGTGTTATAATAAATATTGATCTATTTTCTATGTTGTAAAAAGTTTGTAGGCTTGTCGGCATACACTACAAAAAAAATTCCTTCCCCTCTACTTATCCTTTTTTTTCCTATGATGATGGAAATTCGTCTGCATTTCTGTTAATGACCAGGCAGTCCCTCATGTTGAGGGCCCAGTGCTTGGTTGGAGGAATTTCTTTTTTCTTATGGAGGAAAATTAAATCTTACCCAGTATAGCAGACTGGGAGAAGTTAAATGCGCTGTGCATTTGTGGGGGAGGGGTATTTTCTTTAGAGGTTACATTCCCTGTAACACTGGCTTCCACTAAGCAAATCTTTGGGAAGCAACTGTGAAAGGGGATCCTGAACTTGAAATGGCAGTCAAATGCAAACTGAATTTTTAAAAGGCACCTATGTCGTACTTGCATGATTTGGCCAAAGCACTGCTTTCTTCCCCTTTCTATTTTTCTTTTTCTTTCTTGTAGTTGTGTTGGGTTTGGGGGAAAAGCTTGCATGCTTATCGATCTAGAGTGTTTTTATGAGGGGGAGTTAGCATATACACACATGTTCTTATCTCATCCTTTCCCAAAAGCTCAGGGCATATTTATACAGCATTTGAAAACTGCATAAAAATAAAATTCACCTATCACCACCATGAAGATTAAAATCTCTATTTGCTCTCTCCCAACTCAGATATGGGCTGTGCCAAAATATATTTGAACCTAGGCTGAAGGTTGCTGCCACAATTTATGGCTGGAGACTTTGTCAGTTAGTAAACATAGCCTGATACAAATGAATGCTTTTCTTCTGGGTTCTACCATTTCAGGCTGCAGATGAGAGGGATCAACATGTTTAAGTATCTAAAATGTTCCTTCTATGTTAAAACACACATACACACCAACTATGCCCTACTAGGGTGCTCGATAACTGAAACACTCTGTGTCTCTCCATCCTGACAAACTGTCCAGGATAAACCTCTGAATGTATCACAATATGTCTGAAGAAAGATGGAGGAAAGGTGACTAAGGTACTGGTTTTTTTAGTATTGGATACAATTTCTGTAGGTGGTCTTGATGAGAGCTTTTCCAGGATGGGATGTGCCTTTTAGGTCTCATCTGCCTGTTTTCCAGAGACAGTGTTTCTACAGATTTAGATCCCCAGGAGGTGGAAGATGGAAACCAAATTAAGATGTTCACAAGCCTCTAGATACAAACAATAACTGTGAAGCTGATCCCAAGATTAGCTTATATATATTTGGAAGGTTGGCTGCAAGCAGCTCTTAATCAGCGTTGTGTTCCACAATATCACAGAACTGTAGACAATGCTCAGATGTAGCCCAGAATGCAGGAACTCTGCTTGAGAATATTGATTTCTTCCCCTTGATTTTCAGAGAGTGACTTGGAAATGGCTAGTGGAACAGCTGGATCTTTTCTGGTAGTCCAGTGAAAAGCCTGCATAATTCTATCATCCTTCTCATGCCTAGCAATAGAGGCACGATGCAAATAAGGATAAATGTAAAATTACATTAAACCATGCAAGCTGTCTTAGTTTGGCAGAGCTCCATATTTCTCATTTTTGGAGTTAGATAGTCCTAGCCTCCTTGTGTAGTTTAGGTTAAGCCCAGACCTTTCCAGTGCTGCAATCTTGCAAGTCTTCCATTGCAACTGAAGTGTGAAACTACATGAATGTACCAGGGCAAAGGCTGTTTCAGAAGAGTGTTTTTTTAATTGAACAGCAGATTCTTTGAGCTTCACTCACTGTGCCTTATGCTTAAGTGGCTCCCTGTGGGGTTGGTTTTGTGTTTGTGTATTTGAAGGAGAGAGAATCTCTCTGTTTTCAGTGTCTTATGAGCCTATATGCATCTTTTGTGTGTAATGTGTTTGGTTAACATTACTGTTATCCTTTTTATGATACACTACTGAGAGCCACTTGCTGTAGTTTCAAGAACCAGAAGTTTGGTCTCTTGCATTTACTTTGCCTTTAAGATGAAACTCATTTGTGTACCCGTTTTTATTTTGTTTTGCAAAGGTCTGGAGTAGGTTGGGGGACAGCTTCCTCTAGAAGGTATTTCTTGATCTTTTGCTATGGGGAGACTGCTGGGCTTGTGTTACAATAAATGGCATATTGTTGTTGAGGCATGCTTACAACAATTACATACAGTTTTGTTACTCTTTTGCAAAGCAGCTGCAGAAGCCCTCTTGTAGCATTTGGAAAATGTTGTCCTTTAAATCTTCATTGAGATATTTTTTGTCACTTAAGTCATCACAGTAGTTTTTGTCTGTCTCAGATTCCACAGACTGAGAACTACTACAATAAGCACACATTGTTTTCCTGTATGCTTTTGCAATGGAGCACATGATTGTTTTTTTAAATACTAAACACCCCTCTCCTTGTAGTTCTTTCCTAATGTGAACTCTGAAGAGCATTACCTGTCATTTCCTTCTAAAGCTCTGTTTGCAGTGGGTAATTTACAGTGTGAATTAACAGAAAAGATGCTGTTTGCCCTTTTTTTCACAAAGCTTCTGGTGAGATAGGGCAGTGGTTCTTAACCTTGGGTTACTCAGGTGTTTTTGAACTGCAACTCCCAGAAACCCCAGCCAGCACAGCTGGTGGTGAAGGCTTCTGGGAATTGCAGTCCAAAAACACCTGAGTAACCCAAGGTTAAGAACCACTGAGATAGGGGCCAATGAGAAGTTATGTTGCAGAACACACAGTGAGAGTGCCCATACCATCCATAGTGTTATTCATTAGAATCTTTGCTGTATTTTTTAATGGGCAAAATAGTAGTCCTGTTGGTACTACAGCAATGAGGTAGTTATGTGCAAAGGTTAGTTAGTATATGCTGAAATCTCTTTAGGGAGCTGGTTGAAGATGAGAGAGAAGGACTTCACCTGTACTCATATTCCCTGCCTACAATGTTTGCTAGTGCCTCCTCTTACTGTTTCACTTATTTGCAAAACATCTGACCCACAATAAATAATGCTGTCTCTACTAAAATTGTAACTGATGCAGCATTGAGTCTGTGTCCATGATCTAATAAATTAATCAAATACAAACTGTCTTTAATTTGTTTTTTTGCCTCTAAGGGATATGTTGCTAACTGAATATGTAGAACATTTCTATCCATATACAAATCATGTATTTGTCCTGTTCCACATGTTGGACTCAAGACCACTTATAACTTACAAATACTGGGGGCCCTTTGGAGACAGTCTTGAATGGTATATGAGAGTGCCTTGAGAAAATACAGAAAGTCTGACAAAATGTGGAGACAGAGCTGGCCTTACTATTATGCAGTGAGACAGCTGCCTTCAGTGACAGCTCTTGATGACTGTGACATGTTAAAGGGACAGCATTGTATATTGCATGAAGCCTGCCTTTGGCTCCATAAGACACCTTTGAGTTGAATTAAAATTTTAAAAAACCAGTTCAGTCAATCTCTTTATGTTGCATGGATGGTCTTGTTCCTTGCCTAGGGCAGCATAATATATTCTTCCAGCTCTGCTCCTAGCCTTTCAACCTGATAGGTCTTGTATGGTGCAATCAATTGTAAACTACCTTACCTCCCCTACATGAACTTAGAAGCAAATAGAGACCTTAAAACTCTTTATTTCCACTAACCCATTTTTTAAAAAGGCACCTGGCTCTTAAATAATTTGTTCCTAGGAGAAAAGTACCTTTCCTATCCCTAATGGAAACAACAGGGAGACGAGAGGAGACTGATGACAATATGCTGCAATATGTTCCCCATCATTTGCCGGGGAGTTGGCTTTAAAGCATGGTGTGAATTTTGCTTTACTCCTTTTATTGCTTGCCCTGTTCTTCAGCATGAAAGACTACGTCCCATATCAGTGGGCACAACTTTGGCTTCTTCTGGGTGGTATATACATACACATAAGAAAATCATTGGGAAAATTATATGTTAGAGCAATGCTTCCCAACCTTTTTAAAATTGTGACCCCCTTTTGATAATAGCAAAATAATCTGCAAACCCATCGCTATGTTTGCATAAAAAGGCATTTTTAATGGGATAAAGTTATTCCTTCTTAGAAAGTAGAGGGTTCTTCCCCAAAGGACTTGTTTCTCATATATACACACTAACTTTAATATCTGGCTCCAAAATGTCAAGGAAGAAATTATTTAATAAGAGCTGTAACACATAAGGTGACTCGTGACCCCCTTGGGGAGTCACAACCCCTAGGCTGGGAAATAATGTGTTGCAGTGGTTAAACTGCAGCACTGCAATCCAGCTTCTGTTCAGGACCTGAGTTCGATCCCAACCTGGAGCTGGCAGCTCCAGGTTGACTCAGCCTTCCATCCTTCTGATGTCAGTAAACTGAATACGTACCAAGCTCACTGGAGAGAGCGGCCAATGTGTAGCTTGCATAATAAAATTGTAAACCACTCAGTGCTTTAAGCACTATGGAGCGGTATATAAGCCGCATGCTTTGATTTTTGTTTTAGAGCTCAACCTAGTGCAATTGATTGCTAGCATACAAACAAAAAACAGTATTTTACAAAACACAGAGCAATTTCAGATAAACGTCTTACTAAGCCATCATCCCCATGTACATGATTTAACAGAGACTTTACATGATGTTATCTTCTACTTGTAAACTTTAGAACATAATCAAAGGCAGGACGTGTGGCCCTCCTGATAATGTAACCATAAAATGCAGCCATGTTAGTCTCTATGTTGGCAACATTAAAATAACAAAAAAGGGAAAATTATGGTCCTTTTATTCATTTTATTTACAAGAGTCTTTAGATGCGCCATTACCAATGGTCTCTGAGTGGCATAGAACAATATTAAAACTTTAAAAACATTAAAATCATTAAAACATTAATATTAATGAATCCTGCTGCTCATATGGCCAGCTAAAGGATACTATTTAATTAAAATGCTGGCTAAACAGAAAGGTCTTTGCCTGACACCGAAAAGCCAAAAGTGTTGGAGCCAGGCACTTCTCTATAGGGAGGGTGTTCCAAAGTTGGGGGGCAAGAAGGCCCTATTTCAGCATGCCATCCCCCTCACCTCTTTCAGGGATGGCACCTTCAGAAGGATCTCTTGGCCTGATCTTAGAGTGCAGGCAGGCTCGTGTGGAAGAAGACAGTCCTTTAGGTAACTAGGTCCTAAGCCGTTTAGGGCTTTATATGTCAAAGTGAGCACTTTGAATTAGGCCTGAGCAGCAACCGGCAGCCAGTGTAAATTTTTCAGAACCAGCATGCTATGAGTCTGTGCAGCGGCACCACAGCCCTATTCTGTGCTAGTTGCAGTCACCAGACCGTCTTCAAAGGCTGCCCCACATATAATGCATTGCAGCAGTCCAGTCTGCTTATTACCAGTGTATGTGTGACTTGCCAGGCTCGGCTCATTCAGGTAAGGGCAAAGTTGATATATTCTTGCAACTGTAAGAGGCACCCCTGTACACCGAGTCCACCTGGGCTTCCAAGGTGTCAAGGAGCACCCCCAAGCTGTGTACCCTGTCCTTTAAGGGGAGTGTAACCCCATCTAGGGCAGGAAAATGGCCCTTTAACCTATCTGGCAGAGCACCTACCAGCAGCGCTTCGGACTTGTCTGGATTGAGCCTCAGTTTATTAACTCAAATCTAGTCCACTGCTTCCTTGTGATAAAAATCCACTTCTTCAGCCCACTCTGAAAAGAAAAAAAATCTTAGCTTTTAAAGTGTCACAATGTCTTACCCTTGTTTTTTTCCCCCCTGTCTTTTCCTTTCTAATTTTGCCAAGGGATAATAATGCCAACAGATTCCAACTCTCATCGCGCCTCACTCCGGCTTTAACTGGCTGGGGCTCATAGGAGGGCCGGATGTTCCCAGGGCCGCCAAAGGGACGTTCCAACCGGAAGCGAAGCCCTCGCCGCCCGCGACACTCCATACCTTTCTCCTGGGGACTTCGGACCAACTCCCGCCACACTCGCGCACAGTCTTACGGAAGGAGGGGGCGGGGAAAGGCGATTGGCTCCAGGGGAGAAGGCGGTGCGGGAGAAGGGCGGGGTAGGGCATCAGGGGGAAGTTCAGGGTTGGCGCGAAGAGAGATGATAGGCTGTTCGGGGAGGGGAGGCGGTCCCGCGCGCGCACTTGGGAACCAATGGGAGGCTCCGAACGGGCGGCGCGCGCGCGCGGTGAGATGTTGCTGGGTCCGGCGGGAGAATTTGGTGAGCGAGCGAGCAAGCAAGCAAGCGAAGGAGGAGGTTGTGACATCTCTCCCCTTCTGCAAAGCAAGCCCCTGGGTGTCGGCTTCCCAGGTGGGTATGAACGAGGACGGGGGTTACACAGGGACGGGAGGGAGTTGGCATTGAGGAAGGCAAAATCTTCTTTTTTTTTAAATGGAAAGATAAGAAGAAGCAGCTCCGAGCCTAGCTTATGGGACTTCCTGCCACAAGATCTAAGCCCTGACACGATGGCTAAACGTGGCCGCCGATCGGGCCTACGAGCACTAACGGAAGGCCATTTGGTTCAGTGAACTTCTGAGGGAGTGTATGTGGTGTCTGGATTTTCTCCTCTTTCCCTGCTGAGGGAATAGCCATTTTGGAAGGCTATTTGTAGAAGGCTGTTAATCAATTATTTTTGTGTGTCATTTGCTGAGGGAATAGCCATTAGGGAAGGCTGTTTGTAGAGCGAGGAAATAGCGCTACGTTGAGGAAGAAGGATTAAATATCATTTTCTCTGGGGGTAAAAAAAAAAACCAGAACAATATTCAGGGAGCTGGTCGTGTTTTTTTTCTTTTTCGTGTAATCCACAGCGTGGCCTTACTGTAAGTGCTGAGAGATAACTCAAATTATCTTGCACTTCTGGCCATGGGAGTTGCCACACAGTAACATCAGAAGGGCCTCCAGCTGTCCACTTCTACCTTAGAGAGTTAGAGTCACCCATTTAATTTTTATGGCTTTATGCAAATTTGAAATTGCAATAATGTCCTTGCCCATTCTGTGCCCCAGTCCAAATCTAATAATGTGTGAGTTAGTTGTTGGTATCTGTAAGAACATAACAGGATGGATTTGATTTCAGTGCTACTCAGGGAGACTTGTTTTAATCATAGGATTTCCCCCCACCACCACCAGTCAAGGTGGACATTTGCTTGCTAAAACTTTAAACCAATGACCTTCTATTCACTGAAATGCTCAGTGTTTGAAAATGTACATTTTGAGAGAGATAAATATCTGGTGTGTCTACACAAAATTGCAGAGGGACAATGGCAAGAGTTCACTCTTTAAAGGAAGCATCATTGTTCAAGGAAACTATTGAAAGCAATTGTGGGGATTTTAATAGTAATTTCAAGAATTTCCAACATTATATCATGTGGTGGTAGGAGGTCCAGGAAGAGTTTTATTTAAAGTTGGAAAGTAAGGTTGATCAAGTGTGTACTTTCCCATCTTTGTATATTTTTGTTAATAAGGATGAGGTACAAATGCGGTATGGGAACTAAAATTTTCTGATATCTCCTGGATTGGAAGCTAGAATTAGCTGTTGTGGGATGAGTCTAAATGATCACACAGACGGCTGTTAATCAATTATTTTTGTGTGTCATCAATTCTGACATGTAACCCCTGCCAAGGTTTTCTGTCTATAAGTGCTTAGAAGTGTTTTATATTCTCTTATTTTGGTGGCACTCTGGGACCGTACACTTTGCCCAAGGCTACACAGACCAGCTCTTGTCCCAAGAGGCAAAGTGAGGAATAGAATGCTTGACCCCTAGCTTTGCAGCCAAGCACTACAAATTACTGAATAAACCAGCCATTACAAAAGCCTCTGGAACCCTGTAATACTAAAGCCTCAATCCAAGAATTGTTGGGATCTTCTTTACAAAACCTTTTTAAAAATGTGGAAATATGTAGAACTCGTCTCCTTATTTAGAACTAGAATTTATAATTTTTGTTCCATAGTGAGATATCTGAATGGTAACATGTTTTAAATTAAATTATTATCGATGCGGGGCATTTTTTTTAAGTAGAAGTGTTTTCATTGTTAAAACTTTTTTAATGATGTTTTTTATTTATTCGGCTACATAACTTATTGCTAGGTGCCTTTTGACAATGAAACTACTGTACCTTAAAGTGTAAGAGATGGATATGGCTCTGGCTTGGAGCATGTGGAGTTCAAATTCCCACCATATCTCCTAGAAAGCAACCAATTGAGATCACCTGGAACATGGATGAGTGCCTGATGTGGCTACATATCCTGCCACCTGTGTGGTCTTAGGCAAGCTGCACAGTCTCAGAATGCCGCCAGAAGGGAGTGATCCACCACTTCTGAGTATTTTGTACCTAGAAAAGTTTGGGTGGGTTGTCATAAGCTGGAATTGACTTGACAACACATTGTTATTGTTGTCATCATTATCATTAGAGCACTGCTACTCTTCACCTGTCTCTTATCATTTCTGGGAGAACAAGTCATGAGTGGCTTCATCTACTAGACAATAGTATGCAGCTCACTTGGCTTAAAACAATTAGATTAATGGGATATAATAATAATTGTGTGCTGTCAAGTCAATTCTGACTTATGTCAACCTTTTGGAGGGTTTTCTATGTAGAGAAGTGGTTTACCATTCCCTTCGTCTTGGAGCATCCTGGGACTGTACAGCTTGCCCAGGGCTATGCAGACTGGCTCTTCTTTCTGGAGGCACAGTGGAGAGTTGAACTCTCAAGCTCCAGTTCCACAGCCAGATGCCTAACTCACTGAGCTATCCAGCCACCTAGTTGGATATATAGGTATCAAGATATTACTTTTGCCCCAGTATGCAATGCTTATCCACTGCACATTTTTTAAGCTTTGACATCTTCCAGAAGCCTCGCATAGGCAAACTATTTTCTCTAGTCATTTTGGTTCTTTTTCAGCTATTAACTTGAGAACTGAATGGAGCCTTAATGTACATGGATGTTGTCAGACTTTGGGAAGAAACAGGATAAATTGCTCTGCTTGTGAGATTCTTAAAAGTATTTGGCTGGCTTTTACACGGGACAGAATGTCTGATTTAATCTAGTGTATAAACTTGTAATGTTTCCTCCCTACCATCTGAATGTATAGTTTTTAGGCATTCTGGTGATGTCAGGATCATGATAACTCTAGATAAGCAAAGACTGGAAACACATAGAGATAACAGGAAGTGGGAATGAAGAGCATATGGAGAAAAAATAAGGGTAAAGTGTTGGTGCTAGAGGGAGTTAAAGTGTCAATTTTTGCTGATAGAGAAGGAAAAAGTATGCCTTGCTTATTTAGCCTTAGCATTGTTGTTCATCATCATAAATGGTCATGGTGGAAAACTGGGTAACGACAACAGTTAAAAGATTGTTCATCAAGTTCTAAAGAGAGATGTGGTAGGATGGACAGTTGTATGTTCTGTTTAGCATGCATTACTAACACTTCATATGGTTTTTTTGGTCTCCAGTATCCATCATGCCCGGTACCAGGTCTCTGTCCCAGTCCCGGAACCAAAACACAATTAACTTTCCAAAGCGGAAATCAACAAGGACACTTTCCAAACCTCGAAGTACTGAGGGGGGTTCAAAACCAGACTCATCCACTCTGTCTGTCTCACCGCTCTCCTCCAAGGAAAAGGTTTTGCCTCTTAGCCCCCGCAAACGTCTGGGTGAGTTACACACATAAGGCATTCTTGTTAGTTCGTGCTAACTTTGTGCTGTGAAGCCCAGTGGTGGACCTACAGCAGCAGTAGGTTGCAGTCTATAGACAATTGGAAAGCACTGTGATTTGTACAAATTGAACAATAGGACTTGAAACACTGGTTCAAATATCTGATTACTGCCTATACTGGAGGTCTGCAAGGTTTGAGACACACTCAAATTACTGATTGCAGCAATTGGATTTAGATTCTATAACATATAAAGCCCTGGCTCTACCACTGAGCTGCAGACATTTCCCCTAACTTCATGGCAGAACTAAAGGATTTGGCATTGGACAGCATTAGTTGTACCCATTAAACCCAATGGAATAATACCCAGCTCTCCATAGGATCATAGCATTACTTCTTGATTAGTCCTCCAACCCCTTAGCTACCATTGACAAGCTCTTCATTTTCCATGAAAGCTAATTAATGGGAAATTGATTGCATGATTCTGTCTGTACACTGCTAAAGAGACTGGTGCTGTATTTGATATAATTGTTCCATTCAACAATATTGTTTTTATCCTTATTTATTTAAAATTGCTCGCTCTATTTCTCTTTTATATTGTTTTTAGTTTTTTATTGGTTTTATGCAGTGGTAGGAAACTAACATACGAAGGAATAGAAAGATTGATCTAGAAATTATATGTGACCAGGGACCATGGAGTTGTGCTCTTTAAATGACCTCTGTAAAAACTTGATGCTTCAAAAATAATAATAATAATAATTTGTGAAAGTCCATCATCTATGAAATAAATGGATTCTGTTTAGACTAGAAGATGGGCTGCTTGTGTCTGAATTCTTGGCTGTATTTTTTTTCTTCTCAACAGCATGCCTCTTTTTCCCATAGGAAATGAAAATCTCTGCAATGTCACCCAATCGTTGCCTTGCTCCCCAACTAAGCAGAGTAAAAAAGAGAACAGCTTTCCACTCACCTCCCCCAAAGGGCGAACTTTACTCTTCACTGAGCAATCAGCTCTCCAGTCTCCAACCAAAAGCAGTACTTTGGTTCCCTCTCCCCTTCGTAGAGCTGAAGAGACTCCCAGTACCTTGCGGCGTCATTGTTCTAGAAGAGAGCTGGTGTGTACTTGTCTCTTTAAGCAAGACGGTATGTAGCAATACAGTGCATGGACTGTATCCTGCACCTTCTCCTTGTACTCTGCTTTATAAATGTGTTTATAAGAACACCTATTTTTTGTTACTAATCCACCTAAGATCCTCTGGGGAACTTTAGCACCACAGAATTCTAGCAAAGTACTTTTTTTGGCTGTCTTTTCACGCTATAGTTTTCTAATATCCTAGAATACAGTAGTGCTTCGACTTACGAACTTAATTGGTTCCGGAACTCTGGTAAGTCGAAATGGTCGTAAGTCGAAGCACCATTTCCCATAGGAATGCACTGAAATGCAATTAATCCGTTCCAGCTGAAGAAAAAAATCAACAAAAAACCCAGCAACACTGCAAGACCTATCGGAAACGCGATTAATCCGTTCTGGCCGAAGGGGGAGGAGGGAAGAAAAACAAGCAAACCGTGCAAGACCTTTCGGAAATGGGGAAAAAAGCAAAGCAAGCAAACCATACAAGACCAATCAGAAATAGGGAAAAAGCAAAACAGATTGCAAACAGTGCAAGTCCTATCAGAATGGGGAAAAAGCATATCAGAAAGCAAACAAACCCCACAAGATCTATAGGAAATGGGGGGAAAAACCAAAAAACAAACCAACCCTGCAAGGCCCATCACAGCATAGAAACATAATCCCACCACCCAGCCCAAAACTACGCTGCAAAACCGACCCAGAACAGTTTTTAAAAAGTAGAAAGCAGCACCTTGCCTTACCAGGCAGTCCGAAGCCTCCTCCAATTGCACACACTCTAACCGCTGGGGCAAAAGAGCTACAAAGAAGCAGCCTCTTTCCTACCAAAGGTTAGCAATTTGAATTCCCTGCCTTTTTTCCCCGCCTTTTTCTGGTTGTTACTCGAAGCTCCAGTCGCAAGTTGAAGCAAAATTTTGCAACCAGAGCAGGTCGTAACTCGAAATGGTCGTATGTTGGGACATTCGTAAGTTGAGGCACCACTATATTGTTAATTCTGTTAGTTCCACCGAAAGATTAAAACTAAGGTATAGCTGTGTATTAAATTTAAACTAGATTCTAAGTTTGTTCAGTTATAACACTGCTCCCAGGGAAGCAGTAACCAGAGTTTGGGAGAGAAGTTTGGATCTGTTAGGAATCTCGTCAAACTATCTTATAAGGTGCTTTGAGTGAAGTCTAGAGACTTAAGTCCTCCTTATTGGTAGCATAGATGTGATCAGAGGGGGATTTGCAATTGTTTTTTTCATTTTGGCTAAGTATGCTAAGGGAATCCTAGTATGCACACCTAAGAATTGCTGGTTTTTCACATGCATTGATTAATTTTAATTAACCTAGTCACGCTGTTATGTTTGAAACCCGAAGTATCATATTCACTCACTGGGTAGCAGACTGCCCTAATCAACACATGACATTGCAATCAATACACTTTGAAGCAGGGAATGGAAAGGAGTCTAAGAGGTACAGTTTAGACTGCTCCAACTTTGGGGCAGGCTTATGAGCGTAGAGTGTTCAGGCCGTCTTCTTTGAGATCTCTAGAAATGCATGATGGCGTTATTTGTACAAGGTAGACATGACACATCCAGCTCTGAGCATTGCATAGCTTTATCTGAAGGTTTCAGTGTATCAGTTAAGGAATAATCTCACTCTTGTGAAGCTAAGTAGTCTTAATTACATATTCTTTTAATTGGAGCTATCCTGAACACGAAGGGATGTGGTGCTGCGGGTTAAACCGCAGAAGCCTCTGTGCTGCACGGTCAGAAGACCAGCAGTCGTAAGATCGAATCCATGTGACAGAGTGCGCTCCCGTCGCTTGTCCCAGCTCCTGCCAACCTAGCAGTTCAAAAGCATATAAACATGCAAATAGATAAATAAGTACCACTTCGGTGGGAAGGTAATGGCATTCCGTGTCTAGTCGCGCTGACCATGTTACCACGGACACTTTCTCCAGACAGACACTGGCTCTATGGCTTGGAGACAGGGATGAGCACTGCGCCCTAGAGTTGGACATGACTGGACTAAAATCAAGGGGAACCTTTACCTTATCCTGAACTCAATTCATGTTGCCTGCTGCTGTGTGGGGTGGAAGAGTATAACTTGTGTTCTTTTTTTGTTGTTGTTACAAATATGCCTTTTTAAAAAATGTGGTTCATGCAGGCACCTGCTATCAGCAGGCGAAGAGTCTCCTGCACACAGCGGTTCCAGACCAGTTACATGCAAGGGAGAAAGAGACCGGTGTCTTACATGAGTTTCTTCGGGAACATGTTTGTAAAGAAAAGCCTGGAAGCCTTTATATCTCTGGAGCTCCAGGGACTGGGAAAACTGCCTGTCTCAACAGGATCCTGGTAGACATGAAGGTAACTAACTCTTGGGTCTATGTTTGAGTGCTGATCCTCTTGCTTGAGGCCTTTGCTCTTAAACATAGTTGAAACACATTGCTTTTCAAATTGCATTTCAGAGGCTATGACAGTGCTTTGGTCTGCTTTGGGCTTCATTTCTCGGAGTGGCCTTGTGTTTCTTGGATATTTTATGTGCTCTAGACCTCTGAAGCGCCACTTCTGTTTATGGATAGGCAGACTTTGGTGTATATTTTAAGCAATAATTAGCACGGACTATACTCATGCAAGAGGTGGTGGCCTCCTGTTCCCACACATGGCCTTTGGGGGCTGTTTCTTTTGAGTTCTCAGCCGTGTAGATGTCAACTTAATTATTATTTAATATTTTATCTGTTTATGCTTTGTTTCTATCCTGCTTTTCTCTCAGGGAAGGGACTCAAGGTGGCAGCTAAAAAAATACATGTTTAAAAGCATGGTCAATTAAGATATTTAATAAAGGATGATTTCAGCAGTGTTAAAAACATTAGTTAACACAAATTGAAACAAATTAAAACATGTGACTAAAAAGAAATGCAGCATCCCCTAAAATGTATGAGCCTGCAAGTGCATTTAGAAATCAGAGGCCAATTTTAAAAGGGTTTTCATCTGCCAACAGAAAGACTGTAAGGAGGGAACCAACCTAGCCTCACGTGGCAGCGGATTCCATAGACTGGGAGCAGCCACCGAAAATACCAGGTCTCGAGTCCTCTTCAAGTGTGCCTATGGTGGCAGTGAGACCAACAGGAGGCCCTCCCCTGAAGGTCCCAGATAATGGGGGTGGGATTATATACAGAAATGTGATCTTTCAAGTAGCCTGGACTCAAGCCATAAAGGGCTTTATAAGTTATAACCAGCACTTTGAGTTGTACTGGAAAAAGTCTAGTGTAAGATACACAAAGGGATGTGGTGGCGCTGCGGGCTAAACCACAGAAGCCTGTGCTGCAGGGTCAGAAGACTAGCAGTCGTAAGATCGAATCCACGCGACGGAGTGAGCGCCCGTCGCTTGTCCCAGCTCCCACCAACCTAGCGGTTCGAAAGCATGCAAATGCGAGTAGATTAATAGGGACCACCTCGGTGGGAAGGTAACAGCGTTCTGTGTCTAAGTCGCACTGGCCATGTGACCACGGAAGATTGTCTTCAGACAAAACGCTGGCTCTATGGCTTAGAAACAGGGATGAGCACTGCCCCCTAGAGTCGAACATGACTGGACAAAAAAAATGTCAAGGGGAACGTTTACCTTTTTTAAGATACACAAGTGTCCTCTTGAGTGAGAATAAAGGATGTATATGTTTTGTCATATTTTGCATTGTGAAATACATATGAGCAAAGTATTTCCCAGGATAGAAAGGCTGTTGGCTTCTGGAACGTGTAATTCAGCACATCTGAAGGGTACCAGTTTGGAGCAGTCTGTACATGAATGTCATATTATTGCAAAAAAGGTTGCTGCCTCTATTAACTTCTTCCAGCCCGCATTCACAATTTTTCTTGCAGGTATCTATGGTTTGTGATAGCTTTTTGGAACTGATTGTATTTCTACTGTACTACTTGGACTCTGTTAGGAAGCCTCACTCTTTTGTACTTTTCTGACAGACCGAGCTCACTGGGAGTCAGATCATTGCCTTAAACTGCATGGCCTTGAGGAGTTCCCATGCTGTTTTCCCTGCAGTCGCTGAACAGTTGGGCCTGGGTGCCGCGAACAAAATGGCCAGGGCAGATGTCATCAGAAAGCTGGAGAAGCGACTGACGTCAGAAAGTGAACCCATGATGTAAGTCCTTAATCTCTGTGGAATGTGTGGGGAAACGGGTTTCAGTTTTTCCACAAAGAAGAAGGTGTTTTGGAGCAGTTATCCAGGAATGCATGCCTCATTCTATGCATAGCTTATAAAGAAGAAGAGAATTATCTTATTTTTTTATTTTATTTGATTTGATTTTATTTGGTCCAAAAGTCATCTGAGGACACCTTAGGAGTCTCCTTGACTGTGTTGCAGTGAGACGAAATGGTTCATATGTAATGAGCAAGGTTGCACCCTTCTGAGCAGCCTCTGCACTGGTAACATTAATTTGAACAAACACTCCAGGCATAGTTCTCTTTAAAGAGGAATCACATGCCTTCCTCATGCTCTCTTCTCAATTTCTTTTCTCTATGTAATTATTTTTTAGCCCTATAAATATCCTAAGGATTTAATAGGTGGAAGTAACTGTTCTTCTGAATTTAGAGATTATTGCAGATTAAGCCACTTCATAGAGTTACTAATGATGATAAATTATACAGCTGTAATACTTCTGTGAGAGTGTTTTTTAAGAATAAGTATTTAACAGTATGATCTCTGTTAGGTTTGGTTTTCTGCCAGTCTCAGTTAAGCTAGTTGGTACTTAGGTAGGTCACTCCTTAACACATGGGGAATTGAGATTGTAGGCATAACTGGGTTGCCTGGGAGTCATCATGTGAATACATTATTAGGCTCTTATTTGAACTATAGATCCAATAACACAGGCTGTAGTAAATCACAGTTAAAACATGTAGTATTTGAATACTTCAAGTGGATAAATGATTTAAAAGGGGAAATAAGTCTTCTGTTTCATCCACAGTCTTAAAATTGTTGTGCTTGTCTTTAATATTATAATTATGTTTTTGCTGTTATAATGTGTTATATTTTTAGCTATATCTGTTTTAAATTTATGATGTGAGCTGCCTCGGATCCTTTCACCGGGGAAAATGCAGACTACAAAGTAAATAAATGAATAAGTCTCTGTGGATTATAACCCTTTTCATCGAATGCATCTGATGAAGTGAGCTGTACTGCATGAAAGCTTAATCAAACTAAAAGTTATTGATCTTGAAGGTGTCCTTCTGCTCTAGTCCTGTGCTGAGATTAACCATTGTCAGTAGTTACTTGGATGCTTAGACACTGGCAGGGAAGACATCTCGTAGCAGCTTTCTTTTCTTTGGCCTGTCTATCAGATCTACACCTTGCTTTGTCTTTGCCCCTAGAACATTTTTCTCACATGTTTGTGTTTTCTGTGCAGTTTACTTGTTTTAGATGAGATGGATCAGCTGGATAGTAAAGGACAAGATGTGCTGTACACGATGTTTGAGTGGCCCTCTCTCCCGAACTCCCGTCTTGTTCTCATTGGTGAGTGTCAGAAATAACTTGTGAGTTAAGCTTAAGTCAGTGTCAGGAGGCATCAAGGGGATCTGTTTGGCCTGGTATGAAAGGTTCCTCATGGTCATCATTGTTTATTCACACCCTGTTTTTCTCCCCACGAGGAAACTGAAAGATGCTAAACAGCCTGATCACACACATACAAACGATGGACTCAGATTACATTTCAACAATGTAGGGTGAACTGTGCTCTCATAATAAAAACATTACCGTATGAACAGTTGTCTAAAAATAAAAATATTTCAGTGCAAAATTTACATACCAAGTTAGTTTAATAAACTGGACAAATTCCTGGAATTGCAGAACACATCTGGAGGACACTAGGCTGCAGAAGGCTGCTTCGGAGTGATAGGTGATAACAAAATTCTAGATCCTTCATTCACAGGCTGATGAACCTGCCTAGAATGGAACAAGAAGAAAGGGCAGTTGCTCTAGAATTCTTGACAGAACATGCAGGTCCAAAGTAGCATGCTTGCTACAAATACAGAAGAATACGGATAACTCTTAATTGTCATAATTACATGCTATCATGTTGATGCCAGTTTATGGCAGCCCTCCAGGGTTTTCTAGTTATGAAGCATTCAGAGGTGAATTGCTGGACCTTCTTTACGGTGCCACTTTAGGAACCCACAGTTTGCCTGAGGCTGCACAAATGACAGGGCACTTCACTCCATCTGTATGCCTGATTCGCCTGACCCCTCTCCTTAGCAACATAGCCATACATTCCATCCCATTATGCTAAATTTTAGCCCCGCCACACACGTCTTTACGTTTGCACGTCCTATTGAACTTTTTGTTAGCTTGGTTTTGATGGAACATCAAGCTTCCTCCTCCTTCTGAAATTATTTGTATACCTAGGAATTGCCAGTATTGTCCAGAGTAGGAGGTGAGCTTTGTTTTAGATTGCAAAAGAAAGATGAGCATCCTCGATGTGCCCATTTGCATACCTTTACAGTGGTGCCCCGCTTAATGCTTACCCCGCTTAACGATAAATCCGCTTCACGATGAAGTTTTTGCGATCACAAAACGATGTTTGAATGGGGTTTCGAAATGGCTCACCACTGTGTTTAGGAAAGCTTTTTCGCAAGACAGGGAGCAGAAAATGGCCGCCCTATGGAGGATCTTCGCTGGACAGTGAGTTATTCAGCCCATTGGAATGCATTGAACAGGATTTCAATGAGGGGTTCTTTTTCTTAACGAGGATATTGCTTAACGGCGATTTTGCTGGAACGGATAGTTTTTTTTTCTTTTTTCTTGACGATATCACTTAACAGCGATTTTGCTGGAACGGATTATCCTCGTCAAGCGAGGCACCACTGTAATTTGATTTGCTTTATTTCCGAAGCAAAGTGCATGAGAGACAGACAGAAATGAGGGTCTGTGCTCTAAATTTCTTTTTATCGACAGGGATAGCCAATGCCTTGGACCTTACAGATCGCATCCTGCCCCGCCTGCAGGCCCGCCCAAAGTGCCGGCCACAGTTGCTAAATTTTCCTCCGTACAACAAAGACCAGCTTGTATCCATCCTCCAGGAACGCTTGAAGCAGGTAAGACCTCGACAGCCAGGCTCCAAAAATTCTGCCCATGGTTTTAAAGCAACTTGCAGAAGGAACGGCCACATCCACTTTGAAGTCACTCTTGAGACATTACTGTCTGGATGTCTGAAATGTTATTGCATTTCCATCCTGTGTCTTCCATCAGGAATTCCTTCAGAACCTACTGCAGTTTGGAACAAGGGCCTATTCTTTCTTTGGCTATGAGGAGCAGTAGTCATCTCCTAAAGTGAGGAATGGCTTAAGAGTATTGGTAATTTGGAAAATGTGAGAGGAGTATGAACAAACAGATATTGAGAATAGGGAAAAATGATCTGGACACAAATGATGATGAAAAGCTGTGTTAAATGTGAGCGCGTGCTTGGGTACATACCCCATTTCCATAGCAAGTATGAGTTACTCCAGAAATAATGCAGGTGTATGGTGCAAAAAAAGAGTAGTGGCTTGACTACTAGAGGAGTGGGGTTAAGAATTGAAATGATAGATAGATTGATAGAAATTGTGTACTGTAAAATAAAGATGAATGTATCCAATCTAGTATTTATCTATTTATTAGATTTCTATCCCACCCATCTAGACCAAAGATCTACTCGGGTAAGACATGGCTAGTCACAGAAAAACACAGTAACATTGTACTGGTAACAAGCCAGAGGGTATTAGCTGCTGAGTTGTCCAGTATAGCATGATATATGCTAAAGACCCAGTGTTTGTCTTTCTTCTACAGCATTGGTTCCCAGCCTTGGGGAACTTAGGTGTTCTTGGACTGAAATTCCCAGAAACCCTGGCCAGCCCAGCAGGTGGTGAAGGCTTCTGGGAGTTGCAGTCCAAGAACACCTGGGTTACCCAAGGTTGGGAATCACTGTTCTACAGGGGACTTAGCATTTGTGTTTTCACCACTTACCTCAGTGCTTGTTAAACTCAGGATTCTGCCCGTACTTTATAGGTCCATGTTTCTGAGAGTACTGATCAGGAAGGCTGCTTCCTGATGGCGTTAAGTAAGACAGGAGGCTACAGGACAAAGGACTGTGTGTTAAACAGGCTGTGGGATCCTGGACCAAAATAGTGGAGTTTGCCTTCTTATAAGTGCTAAAAACTCTCTTGATGTAATTTCTTGGAAGCCAGCAAGATCTAGGCCAAAGAAGGCTGCAGGATTTGCTCTTGTAACCCTGTTTTATCCTGTCTGTTCCTTAGGTCTCAGGGGAGCAGGTGTTAGACAATGCAGCCATCCAGTTCTGTGCTCGGAAAGTCTCTTCCATCTCTGGGGACGCCCGCAAAGCTTTGGACATATGCAGGTGAAGAATATATAGCATGCTAAAATCAAAGCTAATTACAATGCATGGGAAGTGATTTAAAGTTTCATTATGGCACTGTGTCTCCCTGCCTAGGAGAAAGAGGGATGAGAGTCCTTACCTCTTGTGGGGAGAGAGGAGATCACTGCCTTCTGGCTGTGTTAATGTCTGGAAATATTCACAGCCCATTACCTATGAAGGGTGAGAGGAATTGGTCCTCCCTGCTGCGATTATAGATTGGTTAATTACATTTGGATTGCAAAAGACTCATTAACAGTTCTCAAGCAGACATCTTTATGGAGCTTAGATGTGTTTTCTTTTCCCTTGCAAGTGTGTTTCTCGCAGTTGCGTTCTGCCTTCCCTGACCTCACAGATGCACGTGCAAGGTTGCCCCTTCTTCCTTTGTTTGGCTCAAAATCAGATCTAAAATAGATACCTGAGCCTTTGATAACGCAATAAAGATCTTTCTCTAGATACCAAAGCAGAGAAATGTGGCCCTCTGGGAAAAGGGAAGAATATAGCTGTGAATGTTTAGGGATACTAGCCCTCTCTTTTTACAGTAGGGTTGGGCTACTCGTAGGATTGGTAAGGATCTAAAAGGTTGGTGTCCCTCAGTTCATCACTGTACGGCAGGATCATTTGCACATAAATCCCAACAGAGCAATTCATACCGCAAGCGCAAAGTAAATTGCTCTGGTTGACTTGTCTGAGTAAGATAAGCTGTTAGCTCCAGTGTTGCTATCTGGTCTCATCTTTATGGGGAGACAGAGCATATCATGTCTTATCCTCATATAAATAAATGGCCTCACTTTTACTCATTTACCTGTATTTGGAAGGCAATACCTCTGACTTCTTAATACGTCCAATGCGTTCTGTGTTGAACGTGTGCCTTCTGTGAGAGTAAGTCAAACTTGTGCTACTATCTAAGCAATACTTAGAATATGTTGTGCAGCTGCACTGATACTATTGGAAAGCTATTCATCCCCATATGGTAACTTCACTTGCGTCTTTTTTCCTGAAGAAGATAATGAAATATGTTGGGCGTCTTGCACAGCGCAATGGATCTCTGTTTTCTTGAAGCTTTGTGATTGCTTATATTTATTATTACACTTTTTTTTTGGTGCTATCCCGTCTTTCCTTTTCCTGACATTTTAGCTATGCAGTTCTAGTCCTCGCTTCCAAACTCCATTATTGGGATTCCTTTATATTATTGTAGGAAGCAGATAAAAACATTTTTATTCATCGGGTCTTCTATAACTTAATTGAGTGGTCCATTGTTTCTATAGGTGTGTGTGGGGGGTCTTACAAGAACTTCATCATTGCTGCATTTTATTTCGAATTCTCTTGCCCACAGGCCATGTATTAAAAACACGTTTGATCAAGAGCAGTCTTGTATACTGTATAAAACCGTTAGGAGAAGTAAACACATTAATTCAGATATGATACAAAACCAGCCCTGTAACAAATACTTGGGGGCACTTTCAGCACTGAGACATTAGATGTAAACTTAAACTTATGGACCAGTACTACAATGGTGGAAGATTGTGTAATGGGGCAACCAATCACATCCAAAATCGTGCTACCCAATTGGGGCTAAAAAAGCAGACAGGGAGCGGTTTCTCTGTGGTCCTTTCCCTACTGACCACAGTTAAAGCCCCGGAGATGGTATAATGTCAATGTATATTTGAAGATGTGTCAGAAGAACAAAGATGCTTACAATATTGCAGAGCCATGGTTATTCCAGTACCACCACACCTGGAATGCCATATTTTGGCATCCGCCCTCAGCAGAACAGTAACTTCTAGTAGGGGCATCTGGCAGCAGATGTGCTGGCCAGCTGCTGGGCTTCCCTCTCGACATGGGGGAGCAGAGCTTTTACAGCATCCTACAACCTCTGAATTGGTCCCTAAATGCGTTTTCATTAAAAGTGGAGGAAACAAAATGATATGATTTGATAGGAACATCCCTTTTGTCGGCAAACATGGTATTTAATCTTATTTTTCTCCAAAGACATTTAAAGGAAAGAAACAAACACCTTTATATGTACCCAGTACTAGTTCAAAATGAGAATGTTATTTTGAAACCTCTGATAAATAAAACAGATGCATGGCTTTGTAGCTTATATTTTGTTTAAATCATGGAATTGTTGCCAATTTAAAAGAGATTTAATGCTGCCTCATACCACTCATTGGGTGCCCAGATTAGACAGAGGTTGGCCCTGAGGCTTTGGGTTGAATCCTGCCTCTAGCAGTGCTTCCACTGTAACAAACAGAGCGTTAGTCTCATTAAGAGGCAAGACAGTAATGAGCTCCCGTTAATAGGCTGTGCCTGCCACACCAGGTCTCCTTCCTCCCTGTGGAAATGGCATGGTTTGCACAGTTGTGGCTCTTCAACCCTGCCTGGAGGATTTTGGGGTCAGAAGTCATGGTAGAGACAAAACTAGAACAGCCACCCAATGTGAGAGTCTAAGGACTAGCTTCAGTACCACATTGTGGCAGTAAATGCAGAAGCAGACTTACTGGTCTGTTGCTCATGTGTGAGAACCCAAAAGTGGATCATGGTTGATCCAAATGTAGTTGTGCCAAAGACACAAGACCCATCTTCTTTGTCTTTAAAATGAAGAGAAAGAGATTGGAGGGGGAAGATGGGGGTTATGCAGAAAAGACAAGGAGAAAGTAGAAACATTGGGAGTGAGAAGCAAAAATGACATTTTCAAGAGAAGGAGTTCATTTTAGATTTTTACTTTTAAAAAATGTTTAATCAAATAAATAGCCCAAGAACATTGTCTATACAGATACAAGAACAAGGTACAAATATAATCAGAAACAATAAGCACACGTTCTAATAAAAATGGGTGTTTATATAAGAGGTGCCTTTTGCACAGATGCTAATGCAGTGGGAAGTGGCATCTGCTTTTTTATGGAGTGCCATGTATGTGCCAAAGCAGTGGCCAGAGCTGTATGCAGTTTGATTCTGGAATGGTCTGTAGGGCTCCGTTAAGAATTGGTACAAGCAGCTGTAAAACACAAATGCCTTGATCTAAAATGTGCAACTCATCCTTAGGAGGGCCATTGAAATTGTGGAGTCGGATGTGAAGAGCCAAGCGGTGCCTAAGCTGCTGCCTGCCTGTAAGTAGCATTCCCCCACTCTTGGCTGCCATGCATTGCTGTCATGTTTCATTAACTGTTTTCCTGACCCTGAATGGTAGCACTTCTTCCCAGGGACTTCCTGGGGGGAAGAAAAGATCATGCAGCTGGCTGGCACAAAAAAGTATTTTCCCTTCCAGCGCTAGCAAAGCAGACAGCCCTGCAGAGGGGAGGGTACACCTGTACCCTATCTTTACTTCTCTCATTGCAGCTCACATACTGTAAATGCAGGTGTGAAAGAGCTACGTGAAAGAATTGGAGAGCAGGAATCTCTCAAACTGTGTGAAAAAGCCTGACTTTTGTGCATGCTGGATAGATAGTGAGACTGTAGATTTCTGTCCACCCTGCTTCATCTACATTCGCTTGCTGTAATTTATCTGTTGCACATATAGACCCATGCCTACCAATCCTCAGAACAGAAGGGTAAAGATTATGAGAACTGGGGTCTTTGCATGAGTTGAGGACACACGACACAGCAACCTTGCTGAAGCTTTACCGATCTCGGTGTGGTCGGTGCCTGGGAATCCCGCATACCCCGTTCTAAGCTCTGACTCGGGTTTAATGGCATCTGCCACCTCTCTGTTCAGCCAACCCCAATCCTTGTTCTGTCTTTTCCCATCCTCAGGCAAATCCCGTTCTAAACCAGCCACAAATTCCGCAGTCCCCAAACAAGTGGGGCTGCTCCATGTATCACGAGTGATCTCTGATGTGTATGGTGACCGAATGACAGCTGACAACAGCAGCGGTGGTACTGATTCCTTCCCTTTACAACAGAAAATCTTGGTGTGTTCTCTGTTGCTTTTGGCCAAGCAACAGAAGGCCAAAGAGGTGACCCTTGGAAAGGTAAGGACACAGAGCTGCTTTTAATAATCTGTGGCACTTTTCTATCTGGCCAAGGGCTTTACTTTAAAGTTTAGACAAATTGTATCATGAGCTTTTGTGAGAGCACATCACTTTTTTTATTTGTTTCTTTTTTAAAAATTTTTTGTAGTATATCAGGATGTGTGCACAAAGTGCAAGTGAGACGTACCATGGGCTCACTTTAAAATGTTTCACTCTTTATATAGAATTTGCAGTACACAAACAAATAGAATGCAGGCGCCTTCAAAGGGATTGCCACCATCTGCTTCTCTCTCCTCCATCCTGTCAAGTATCCTGTCCTTATTTTTTTTCTTGTTTTGTTTTTCACATCCTTGGGAATTAATGAGGCCTATTTACTTAAAGAATAAAGGTTTTTTTTCTGCATGAATTGAAGACAGGTGCTTGAAACATACTCTAATGTTAGGCACAATATAAGCTAAATGTCCCATGGCAGCCTATCTTCCTGCCTGTCTTTCCCTCCTGCCTTCTAGAGAACAGGTGGAGCTCGAAAGCTAGAAAATATGGACTAGGGGCAGAGGTAAAATCATGCACTCCAGGTTGTGTAGCAGCATTTTGCAAATTGTTTTTATTGTTCATTTACTAATGGAAAAGCCAAAGCTGGGGTAATGAAGTCTTCTGAGGCTTTAGCTGGGGGGCAGTAGGGTAGCCGCCCAGAGTGGTAGAATATACCAGATGGGCGGGATAGAAATCGAACAAACAAATAAATAAATAAAATAGTACAAGCGTGGGCTCTTGTGATTGGACTTGTGCGTTTTTATGCCTCTTTCCATCAATGCTACCTCCGTTGTCTGCTAAGAACTTTAAAACTAGAGACATATATCAGCAGTGCTCATTTCCCAGAGCAATATGAGCCAATCTGTTATTTGGCATTGCTAATAACGCTGGGTTTTGTGAGACACTGTCAGGAGGACCACCATTCAGTTGCAAACTATGGTGAAAGAGCTAGCTAGTGAAGTGACTCGGGGGGAGGGGTGACATCAAAGAGAAAGGTCTCCCATGCTTTCTTGTTTCAGTTTCTTGTATTCAGTAACTCTGTATTTTCACAAACTTTTTTCCTATCCTAGCTGCATGAGGCCTACAGCAGAATTTGCCAGAAGCAGCAAGTGGGAGCTGTTGACCAGTCAGAGTGCCTCTCGCTCTCTGCCCTTTTAGAATCCAGGGGTATTGTGGGGTTGAAGAAAGCTAAAGAAGCCCGGATGACTAAGGTACTACGACAGGTCACTTCAATTATAACTTGGTTTATAATGGGGACTAGATATTCAAGGTTCCTCTAAAAGAGCCATAGTCTGACAGCATGTGCAGAAAGTTCTGTATCAATCATATAATCTCTATTTTAAAAAGAGTCTCGGATTTCAGGTCAGAGAAGGACTAGGAGAACCACTGCTGGCCTGAATAGACGACGCTGGGCTATGTACATGGTTCAGTAGAGGACAGTTTCTCAGTTTTGACAGAAATAATCTTCTAGTTAGCATATTGAAACTAATTTGTCTGCAGGAGATCAAAATGGTTTGGGGTTCTACTCTGATTCGTAATAAGCAGGCCCCAGAAAAAGTGAAGTACTTTAACTTGAAGATTTTAAATATCATCCTTTAAAATGGTGTTCCATTTATTTAGATCAAAGGTTTGCCATGTTTCTTAAATCTTAGGGCCTACAGATGTAATATTTCCTTATTGCGCTGATCCTCACTATAACTGTTTGTGAGAGGTTGTTTCTCTTCCCACTTTGTAAAGAAAGAAATAACGTTGGGTAACAAAAATTTGCTCTGTGGTTTGAGCTGTCGGTCACCCTTGGACAACCTAGGGTGCCAGGCTGTTTGGGGTTTAAAAATATCACTTCTGATTCCTAGGACGTTTTCCTTCTCTAGATAACAGATGGCTTTCCCACCTTGGCTGCTTTGGCGAGAGAGCGGTCACTTCTTCATTTTTCCTTGTCTTTGGTAGCTTTATAGGAAAGCTACATTGGTCACCACAGAAACGGCAGTCTTAGCCTTGAGAAAATTGTTGAAGCAAAGCAGAATTAAAGTGGCAAAATGTTCATGCATTGCAGACAAGAGGGAACATACAAGGCAGGAGACACCCAATTTGATCTGCATATGCAAGATCTGCCACTGCTTTCACCAGTGCACCTGCCAGAGACTCAAAAGTATTATAGTGCATGCATTTGGGTTAGGTATCCGGTCAAAGGCTGGGAGTTTAATTCCCCATTGGACACCCCAGAAAAGCCAGTCTGTGTGGCCTTGGGAACGGGGCGAAGTCCAAAGGTGCCTCCAGAAGAAGGAAACGGTAAACAACTACCTAGAAAACCCTGAAAAGCCAGAAGTTACTGGACAGCACACAATTATTATTATTATTATTAGAAGAAGAATATTGCTTGCTTCAGTGAATTGGAAGTCTCTACTACCCTTTGTCTGCCCTTTTTTAACACACTTTGAGAAATATATTGATCTATGATCCAAGTACTTTGAAAAAAGGTGAACCAATAAGCACATCATGACAGGAAAAGACACAGGCCAGCAGTGGGCATTGTGTTGTGGAACAGAGGGTTTTGTTTACTGTGGTTGATCACATATTCCATTTGTCCATACTTGGCTATAAAATTTCTTCAGACATTTTGTAGTTGTGGCAGAAAAAGAAAGAACTAGACAAAGGAAGTATAAAAGCTTGGGGTACCTGGCGTAATCGCCCGCTTGCTCTCCATGACACCTTCATGCTTCCTAAGGTGGAAATGGCAGTAGGCACTCTAAAAGATTATGAAATACTGTAATAGTTGTCATAATATTATTCCTGTGATTGTAAGGTAGCTTGAACGTGGGAAGGCGTCACAGTTCATGCACAGGAGTTCCTGTATTTTGTTCTCTCACTTAGATTTGAAGCGGAGACCCTGAAATTGCCAATATCCTTCAGAATTGTTCTGTTTTTGGCAATAATGAATGTCCCCTAGTTGTCTGGGTAACACAACCTTTTTCTTTCCAGGTCTTCTTGAAGATAGAAGAGAAGGATGTTGAACATGCTCTCAAGGATGGGGTCTTGATTGGCAGTATCTTGGCCAAGGGGCTTTAGAAGTGTTGCCCAGTTTACCTGCTGTACAGAACGTTTCTAAGATGGTATAATTTCTCCCATGATGCTCTTATTCATTGTGAAAGTTTTTACTGAGCCATGCCATTGGGTGGATGAATCTGATTATTGGAACATTTCTATGTTCTTAGTTTTTTTAAAGTATTCATGTTATAAAAGTGCTCCCTCTTTATTCTCAGTTGTTTATTTCTCAACCGTACAATGTCCTGTGGAATAGTTAATAACTGATGGGAGGATGGAGCCGAGTCAATGGTAATTAGAAGATGGAGTTTTGCACTTCATCTGAATATCATCCCTATAACATCCCCTACCCAGGTCTCCTTTTAGATTCCTTGAAGTGCCTCTCCTACCAATCCCTGCTGACTCCCAGCCCATACCTGTACACAGAAAGGAGAGCGACTTGTGCCACTCTTGGGATGCCCCTGCCTGCCTGTCTTGAATGCTGGAGATGAAAGAGGATGAAGCCTTTCGGCAGCAGAGCCCATTTGCCGAAACAAAACCCTTCACGTCACTAGAGGAAATAAGAAGGCCACCGCTTCTCTCATGAGCTTCTTTGAAGTCAGGCTGTTTCCGTGAAGCAGATGTCACTCATGCTGAGGCTTAGCATCCCAGGAGCTGCAGTGGGGCTTAGTGAAAGAAACACATACAGACCCAAGGGCTCTGAACATCTTAACATTTATGAACTGTGGATGCAGTCTTAGCACTGAAACTGGTTTATTCTGGACCTGGTCTGTTTTATTTCTTTGCCATCTCTTGCAAAGAACTGATTGGCTTCCCAGGTGGGCGTGAACTGAGAATTCTTACTAAACGTGCAGTAACGACTTCTGAGTTGGAATCCAGTTTTCTGCATCCATGCAGATATGTACACATTGACATCTTCTACCCCACCCTGGAATAATCCTGTTCATATTTGAAAGGCCACATGTTGTTTTTTTTCACATTGTTTCCGTGCTTGAACTGACTATCTAAGGGCAATATTAAGAAAGGTTCTCCCATCCCCTGATGGCTTTATATTTTTGATGTACTAAAACCTATATTAGCTGGTGCTTTTAACAGTGGGAGTATGGACATACCCCTACTGCTTTTTTAAATTAATAGATTAAAACGTTCTTACGATTTTGATGTGTGACGTATGTATTTCTTTTTAGCTTAGCAGTTCGTACTTCTAACTTAGAGCAGGTTTTTCAAGGAGATGAGAGTGATGAAACCCCCTTGCAGAGGAATCCTGGGCTCTATCCTGCCTGCAGCCTGGTATTGCATTTTCTCCAGTACGACTTAGCGAATGAGAGGGCGGCTGCTATGATTCCCTTGTCCATTGGAATGAGGGGTGCAATTATGTTTGAAGCATACATGTCCCACTGATCGTAGTTCAATATCCAGAGGGCTTGTTCTATCTGCTGCCTTGAATGTCACAGCATGCTTGAAATGGTGCCTTTCTTCCTTCTGCTGCTCTTGCCTTCTTCTGGACTTGTGTGTAAGTTTAACATCTGTCACAGTTGCTGCTGTCTGACTTTGAAATGTATTTCTGTGAGACAAATTCTTTCAAGAATACACTATTGGCAGCTGTTGCCCTATTATTTTTTTTGTCAGGTTTGCAGCCTTACTGAACATCCAGATCTGTTTGGCTTCAGCCGTGTTGTACCCTGATTCTTCATGCTGCCTTATAACCTGGTCCACAAAATTTTGCTTTAAGCCGAGTGGCCAGGGCAGGAGACATGGGATATGTGTTCTTTTGGCAGGCCGAAGCAGCTTTGGCAACCTTCTTGTTCAAATATAGCAGAATGGGACAACTTGACCCATCTGCACCTCTGATGGCTGGCTCCTGTAAACCACAATGGCATTGAGTGCTAAAATGCGTGACAGTGTTAAGAGAAACCAGCCTGGTAATAAAAATGTAGGGATTTGTAGATCTGTCTCCTAGCTTAACCCATGGGTGGTTAACCCTTGCAGTACCTCTGTAGAAGAGACAATTGTTCAGGCCCCTCACTACTGAAGTTAAATATTTTTAAGCTGTGTTGCTTTCATTTTTCTTCCTCCCTGAGCTTTCATAGTGGTTCTGTCCTTCAGAGGGCTCAGATAAGTACATTTAGACTTTGGACTCTTTAACATTAGCAAGCCATGTGGTTGGTAGCAAGCCAGCTTTCAAAGAGTTAAAAGGCTAGAGCAGCCACCGCTAATAGAAAACAGGCTTCAGAAAGGATTGAGAGCAGATGGGCAGCTGGATTTTAAATCAAATTTTGTTGCTGTTAGGACCTTGAAACTGAACCAGCGCTCAATACGCATGACTTCTATTGTTAATCCTAAGACTTGCATGTATTTTGTCTCAAAAGGAAAAAAAAAAGGTGAAACAAATTATTTTTTCAACATCCAGATAAATTCATGTTTGAAATCTATCAGGATAGACAAGGAGAGATGAGTTTGCGAAAAGTACCTAAAAATCGCACAAAAATGGGGCAGAGACTGCATGGAAGGAAAAGAATTAGTGCATAAGGTTACTAAAAACCATTTTCAGTACCATACTTTTCACAGTTTTGCTATCCTCCCCACTTTTTTGGATTTCTTAACATTTTTGGTTAGGGTCAACTCCCTGTTTCCTTTCTTCATGTGTGCTTTAACTTTGTGATCTAAAAAGACAGGTCATGCAAGTAAATGGGATTGGTAGGAAAAGGGAAAACAGCCAGTCTCTCATCACCAGGGTTAGTGGAATGGCCCTGCTTCCTGTCTTCCTCTCCTGCATCCTGATGGAATGAATGGCTGCTGTTACTGGTGGAATAAGGCCTAGGAGCTTTGCTTTCCATAGCTATATAAATTTGGGTGTTGGAATACAGTGCAGTAGTTACGTTTGGGGCAGGTTCCGTGTCACCCTCTTTTTATTTCTTTGTTCATGGCATGTCTTAAATCTTGGTTCTTCTCAGTCTCCACTCAGTTCTTTTCAAAACACAAGAGGCAATTATGAGTTCACTCATTTTTTGATTGGGCCGGGCAGGATCTGGTATTTTACATGATGGAAAATAATCCCAAGGTGACTAGAATCTAAACAGAAATGTATGTAATTTCTCCTGAGAAGGAAGTGGGACCTGGTCTTTATACGCTAAAATTACAATTTATAAAAGAGAGAGTTTCTAATTCTTAGGACATGTGTTTTTGTTGGACGGGGGCAGCTGGCAGAAATCATTTCAACATAAGACTGGCTAGTAAAAGCTGCTACATGGCTCTTCAACTGATGCATCTGTTTGACATTACATAGATTTAACATTTATGGAAGTATTGCAGCAACCCCGTTGCAGCAGGACTTCCCACGTCAAGAGTCAGACTAGTAATTTCCTCTTCCTGGAAAAAGGGTAATTGCTACAGAAACTCGATTAGGGCCGTCCTGGATGGGCCCTCTTGCATCCATCGACTGGCAGGCTAGAGACAAGGAAGCGACTACTGTACGATCTTCCTCTTTTCACTTTGGAGGCTTTTAATTGGGCTCTGAATCATGTCCGCTTGCTTTGATCTCTCAGCTAGTTCCCACGCAAATGCAAAAAAAAAAAAAAAAAACTGGAAAAAAGCCTCATCAGCAGTTTCTAATGAGCAAGCCGTTGGCCTTCTCCATCTTCTCTGGTAATGAGTGAAAGGAAAACATGCTCAGACACACTGATTGGCTATAAGAGCAGTGTTTCAGTAGCCTCAGATTTTGGAGGAACACAGCTATCGGTCTTGTCACGAGGCAGTCAAGCAAAGTGAAGTTGTTCTGAATTCCTCCCATCATGATTTACAAATCCTGCAAACTATACCACATATGCAAAAGCATGACTTTCCATGCTGCCTTATTCCAGGGGGTGAAAATCGTGGTTTTCTTACCAGCCACTTGGGTTTGCTTCTCCATTCACACTAGGCAAGCTCAAAAGTGTAAAATAAACAAGTTTCTGATACATTTCACTTGCTGTATATAATGCATTATAGACCATGTCATCTTGTATTCCTGTTTTATAGCAATTTGATGGGTGACAATGCCATACGCTTCACTGAGTGACCTGCTCCATATTCTATTTGTTTCATGTATTTTTTCATTTTCTTACTATACATATTGATACTGCCTTTTTTAAACTATTTTTTAAGAAGTGAAAAAAAAACTTAAGTCTGAATACAGCTGTGGTCAGCTTCATTTTAAATTCCCATTAAAATTGGCTCTATTAGCACTAAGAACAATCCCTTCTATAAATTCGGTTATCCAAGAGGCTTAAAATATCACTGAATGATGCTCAAGTTTCAGCCGGTCTCTTCCTGGAGTGGATGCTGTAGCCATGGAGTAAGCTTGAAATTTTCTGTTACATGCCCTTCATTCTTAAATACAGATTGAACTGATAATGTGTATGATTGGTCAGTCTCTAAAACTGATGGAGAGGATAATTATGAATCTTGTAAATATAGCTCATGCAGCCCTGAGACTGGTATCTGTCCCAGAATCTCTTTCTCCTGCTTCATTATAGAGGTTGGGTTTTTTTTTCAGTCCTTTGTGGGACGTGGTGGCGCTGTGGGCTAAACCGCAGAAGCCTGTGCTGCAGGGTCAGAAGACCAAAGCAAAAAAGCAAAGCGTGCTGCTTATATACCGCCCCATAGCGCTTCAAGCACTCTCTGGGCGGTTTACAATTTTAATTATGCAGGCTACACATTGCCCCCCCCCCAGCAAGCTGGGTACTCATTTTACCGACCTCGGAAGGATAGAAGGCTGAGTCAACCTTGAGCCGGCTACCTGGGATTTGAACCCCAGGTCGTGAGCACAGTTTTAGCTGCAGTACAGCGGTTTAACCACTGCGTTTTTTTTTTCAGTCCTTTGTGACAAATAACACAATCTCTGATTATAGGGGAAGTATATTTCTATTATTACTATACGTTCTCCAGAATTCTCTGTTCTCTGCGCATCTGGTTCTAGGAAGGATGACCAGCACCTTTTTCAAGTTTTCTTTAGAGCTTGTAGATTTATATCCAGCAGCTTGAATTTTATTCTAGAAGTTACAGTGGTGCCTCGCTAGACGATGTTATTCTGTTCCACTGAAATCGCTATTGTGAAAACATTGTCTAGCAAAAAGCGTTTCCCGATTGGAATGCATTGAAACCCGTTTAATGCATTCCGATGGGGTGAAATCGTCGTTTTGCGAAGATCGCCCATAGGGAAACCACTTTGCAAAGCCCCGCTCAGCTGTTGAAATCACTGTCTTGCGAAAAACGGTGCAAAAAATTTGAGTTTTTAGCGGAAAATGGAAATGCTTCTTTTTTGGACTATCAAAGGGCCTTGTGAACATATGGGCATATGTGTTAAAAGCACACACATATACATGGAATTTCACCTGAATGTCCTATGATAATTAAATCCATGATTAAATACTTCCAACACTGCTGTCATGGGTGCTATATTTATGGTTTGGTTATTTATGTTTTGTAATGTCCTGACATTTGGGGATATAATATCCCAGGAAAATATTATGTTACAATTTGAGGTAAAAGGGGAGAATTCAAAGCTAAATGACACTGTCATTGAAGAAATGTGTGCTTTTGTTTGTCTTGATGTTCCTACCAACATTACATTACTGTACATGGTTTTTGATGAGGGATGGGAGCAAATAATTTTCTTTTTATCTTTTGGTGTAAGCCTTTCTCCTTCTGCCTGCCTCAAGCATCTTGAATCCTGCATCATGTAGAAAATAAAACTGTTCTTACCATTTTAAATGACATCTTAATCTGTACCAAGTTTTGATTCTTCAGCAGACCAGAATATCCACGCTTTGACCCTTTCCAGATTAAAATCAAAGAAATGTTTTTCAGAACATCTGTGAATCCTGTAGAAACAATAGAGAATACCAGAACCATAATGTGGAAAGAAATAACTAAACACCTTTTAAGATGGATCGAATCCCATGAAAGTCTAGTCCCTGGTCACGAAGAGAACTGGGTTTCTTGGAAGCCATTTAAAAGGCAATGGAGTGGACTTGGCAGAGCCAAGGTGAACTTAATAGAGGTTTTACATCAACATTGTCTTTTGCAGAAGTGGAGAAGAACAGGCAACATCAGACTTAGATCAGTTTACACAACACCCCTAAACATATACCATAGAAGATTTGGTGTTAGCTGATGC